ATTGCAGCAACTAGTCTGCGTAGCAGTAGAAAAGTATCCATCTCTCCTTGGCATGTATTCTCTTCTTCTAGAAATATTCCGGAAGCATGCTAGGTCAAAGTTGACCGGAACATCTATGTAGAACGTGTGTAGCTTCTGGAAGCCTTCTGGAAACTTCTGGTTCCTCCTGTAGCCTCTGGAAGCCTTTCTGGAAACTTGGTTCCTTCTGTAAGCTTCTGGAAGCGTTCTAGATCTAGGTTGCAGTTGATACTCTTCTGGAACGTAGGAGGGCTTCCAGAAATCATTCTGGAAGCATTCTGGATCTTTCGTGTGATTGGCTTATTTGTCCGGTATTCGAGAAGAGTGGTGCAGCCCTAAGCTCGCCCACTCCTCTCACTCCTCTTCAGTACCAGCAACATCAATCTGACTCGGGAGTCAGCAATTAATCTTTGTATTTCCAATTCAAGTCTCTCGCGGTTGGAGCCGCACGGAGTGTGAACCTCTGAGGTAGGCTTCACAGCCTCCTGGCATCTGCAGCATCGTGCTGCTGCTAGAGCACAGCGAAATATCGCTGACAGCCCTCCCCGGGAACGCGTCATAGCGAAGGCTAGGCCATTGCACAGATGGAAGAACAGTCAGTATAATGCAGATGAAGAGAACTGCAAGTGTGTGTGTCGCTTCTGGCCTCCAGAAACCCCCCCTTCTTGTTCACCCTAACCCCCCCTCCTAAGTACCTACATTGAATGTTTCTCGCTCTCTCCCTCTCCCTCTCTTACACAGACGCACCACGGAGAGCTAAACATGCTTCAAAGCTTGCATCGGTTTGGTGCGGTCGGTTCGTCGTTGATGATTTTGGCTGCATGCTGCTTCGCAACAATTTTTTCCAGTGCATCAATTGCCAAGGCGAGGCTTATTCTGACCAATTGCCGCCGGACTATTAAGCAGAGTTCCGAACACAACCGACGACGGTTATGGCAACGGCGGCCGGAGCCAGAGCCTACGGGTGAAGACCTACAACGCGAGCGAGGCGTGGGAAGCCAAGCGCAGTTCGCTGGTACAAGGAGTGAGTGGAATTTTTTCGATGTCATCGTGGACAGGCGGCAGGTGCGGCGGCAACGGCAGCTAGGGCTTTCCCTAGAGCAAAGCGACGGAAGAGAGGACAAAGCCTACGAATTTTCCCACAATAGCGGACAAAGCGGAAACCGTGATGGCGGCGATGCGGTTCGCGTTCCGACTTTGGTGGAGGTGTTGGAAGCCGTTAGGACCGACGTTTGGAGCGCCCCCGTGGCGTTCCGGCCGGTGTCCAGCCTGTGTGGCCAGCGCAGCTCCCCTTTCGACAGCGTCATTCCGTTCGAGAGGCTGCAGGTGTGTTTATGCCCGTGACGGTCTTTAAATCTCTCTCCACACTCAATATTGAGATGCGTACGCCCTAGCGGTTTCCCATATACACCGGAACCCGATGGCGGCATGTCTAAAAGAAACGAGGGCAACCGCCATAGAGATCAAGGTCCACTGACACCCTCGAGTGCGTCCACTAAACCTACTCGGAGGAGCTTTGTTCGCACGAACCCAGCTTTTTCAATTGAATTTGTTTCCCGAAAGCTTTTGCCGTGAAGAAAGTAGAGAGCGACCACAACACGGTGTTCCTTCAACCTCCAACCACACGCGTCGCCTAGTCCGTCTCCGACCGTGCCAATGGTTAGGTTAGTAAACGAATACCAGGCGATGAAATGCTTCAAGCTGCCGTTATTGGCCATAACCCAAAACTATCTTTGGAAACACTCCTCGAGTGACTGACAGGAAACAGGGTATGCTATTATTGATTGGCTGATTTCGCGCTTTTTGCCGTCGTACAAAGCACCTTATCCCATGCACGGAACAGGCTGCCTTGACATGTCAGTTTGTGTTTTCTTTCCCACCACAATACCAAGTCGCGTAGGTACGCACGTTTTACCCCTACTCTACCCCAACGACAAAAATATACCTGCTGTCCCCCTCCTAGCCAACTTCACAATTGTGAAACAGACCTCCTACGCCTATGCCGTGATGATGATGCAGAAAACCTCTACCGAGGTAGTCAAGTCTCTCCCAGGAGACGTCTGGGAGGCGTTCGGGAAGTCGGGGTGGGGACCCGACGGGAAACATGCCTTCATGGACTTCGATTATGGCCGGGGCGCATGGAGGGGAGAGGTAACCAACGGAGGTGGAGGCGAAGCAGTCGGTGGTGGAGCACAAACAGCGGAAGGTGCAGCTACGAAGGGGCATCGATTTGTGGAGGCGGGGGCGGGGGTAGGCACATGCGTTGATCGCTCCGGTTGACTGCGACGCGATCGTTATGGATGGCACGGTGCGCGCCCTGATGTGTGCGATTTTTGCAGCACGAAAGAGGAGTACGCCAGTAGAGACACACGCAGCATGCGCCACTCCGAAGGCATTAATTTGTAGATTATAATCGTGAGTATTTCGGATTTGTCGAAACATGACTACCACTCTGTACTGAATCTGTTGATATTCCCACAGAGAGAACCAAGCCCTAGCCCTACCGCCGTAGATCGACGGAATAAAACTGAAGGCAAGGTGCAACTTGTATCTGGTAATCTGATTGTAGCTTCCTTCTTTGTTTTCCCCTACTCGTTGTCAATCACCTTCTGCGTTTCCTGTTGTCCAGGGAATAACATGAGGGACACCTTGCCGCGACACGCGCGCGACCTCTTCGAGGGGAAGAACCCGTGCGCGTGGACGGAGTACTATTCCGACTTGGGAATCCTTGACGCAGTTGGCGTGGTATACGAAATGGACTATACTCATTACCGCTGGTACCGGCTCGACGTGTGGAAGGAAAAATTTAAGGATTGTTTGGGTCATTAACGTCGTGGGGAGATGGTCGACGAGATGGGGGATATGTGTCAATGACATTTCCAACTTGTTCGGGGTGATCTTAACCGAAACCGCAATCTCCAGCGCAGGTACAAGTTTTTTTGTCGCCGTGCGCTGAACGAATCGGTCGAACCTTCGCAGGAAGAAGTGTTTAGGCGCTGTCAAGGTTCGTTGAAGCGTCACCGACAATGCCGGTATCGCACCCTTCTTGCCAATTGACCCACTGGGGCACCTACGCATTGAGTCTTTTGAACCCGCTGCAAGCTCATGTGTGGTTGAGTGTCTCCAATGGTATATGTGTGTAAGAGTTTGCTGGAGCAGTAGATGGGGCGTTGGGTAGGGCAGTTTGCTGGCGCAGTTACTTGAGGAATGAGACGAGGACAACGTACAAGTCTACTACAGCATGTAATGGCTCCAAACCGTTTCAAAAATGCTGCATTTTTTGCAACTTTTCTTGCTTTTCTAAAAGTTACACAGGATTTTCAAACATTTTTTGAGCGAAAAGCTGCAATATGGCCGAAACGTTGTGAAACTTTTCTCGAGTGGGGAAGAGGCGAGAAAAGCTGCACGGCGGAAGTTATTCCGGTTCACGCCAAGCTCCTACCCCTACCGCCCACGTAGACCCTCTTCAGCATCGATTGTGCGAAGGCTGTGATCACCAACATCTCGACGAATACTCAACGAGTTGCCTCATAAACCGTATCTGGAACGAGGTGTCATGAGTGTGGAGAAAAAACGTTGGAACTTAGGTCTGCCGCACGCTCTGACCGGCTTTCCTGCCGTGCAATCTGAACGGGACGTGCTCTCGTCTCGCCGCTGCTAAATAAAGAAGAATATCAAACCTCCACATTCCCTCAGTCCCATGCACAAAACACATAGGGTTAGGGTTAGGGTTAGGGTTAGGGTTAGGGTTAGGGTTAGGGTTAGGG